CCCCCCCCCCCCCCCCCGCTGCCTCTCCCCTGCGCCGAGGGCCAGCAGTGCTCCGCCACCCATTCATCCCTCGCTCCTGTCACTTTCCCTCCATTCAGCCTCATCCTTCATTGATCTGTTCCCTTCTGCTGCCACTAGCACTCATTTCCTCGCGTCCCCCCTCCTTCCTACCGTCTTCCCTTCCTTTCCCCTCATCTTTCCAGTTCTTCCACTCACTTTTCCTTCCTCGGCAAACCGCTTCAGCTCCATGGCTTGACCCCCTCACCCAATTCCTTTGGGTCCTGTTGCTAAGCCCACCCCTCTATGTTCTCCCTTCCCCAGATATTCTTCAGACAAATGATTTGTAAAAAAAGTTTACTATTTGGCCTGCCAGAACAACTACCCTTCCTACACACTTTCTAATGCCCCCCCCCCAAAAAACTTTTAGGTTGGCTACGGTCTGATTCTGGTCCCATTTCCTAAGTCTCCCCTGGACTCTCCTTTCCTACAGTCCTGGATACCTCTCCTCATCCCTCGTTCCCAGGGAACCTCTCTTCCCCCTCCATCCGGTGGTCGTTTTTCTCCCGGTAGCACGAAATTTTCCCAACACCTGCAATTCGTTCTCCCCCCGCCTCCCCCCCAAGAAATCGGGCGGCCGTACGGCGCGTCTTTGCCCCAGCCACGTGAGTTGGGAAGAACTCCGCAATTCCCATCCATCACCTGTGCCATAGTGGCAAAATAAGTACTCGCGTGTTGGCGGAAAATGTCGCCTTCTCACGGCCAAAAGAGACGTGACTTCCAATCCGTATCTAGCAGCCCCCTGGCGCACCCTCTCTAGCTCTCTTCTCCCCTTCATTTTTGTTCTAGAGTTGGCACAGGGGCTCAATCTGGATAGGAACCCGAGTATCGGGAGTAGGCGCCTTTAAGTTCAGGATTGAGCCCCCTCTGCTTACTCTAGAGTAAAAGAAGAAAAAAGACATAGCCGCTAAATAAATGGATTTACAGCCATGTCTTCTTTGACCTCGCTGGGCTGTGCTCTCCCTTCCAACCTCTCTGCTCCACTTCTAGCGTTCTTTGTAACTTTCTGTCCATCCAGTGATTTTTTTCCCCATCCCTCTCAGCCTTTCATCCTCCTCTCCTCTCCTCTCCTCTCCTCTCCTCTCCTTCTTTATTCTTCCCCTCCCTTCTCCTTCATACATTCCTTTCCCTGCATTGTCCTTCCATTGCCTTTGACATTCTGCCTCTGACGTTTCTCTCCCCCTTTCTTTGGCTCGTCTACCCCATCTTTCCTCCCTCCCTTGTCCTGGCTTCAGTTTCCCTCGTTGCCCCCTTCCCCTTCTTGGGTTCTGTTCCTGGAGGGCTCCCCCTGCTGTATCAAGAATCACCCCCACACATCAAGCAAGCAAGCAAGCAAGCAAGCAAGCAAGCAAGCAAGCAAGCAAGCAAGCAAGCAAGCAAGCAAGCTTTTCCTTGCTTTCTACATCCTCCTCTTGCATCCTGTGAATAAGCCCCCCCCCCTGTGCAGGCACCCTGCCCCACTGCTTCCCTCTCCTGGCCTCCGATTTCTCCGTCCAGTCTCCCGCTGTTGATGCAGGTCCCCTTGGTGGACCCTGATGATGCTCTTGAATGCCCCCCTCACTCCTTGCATAACCCCCTCACAGCCTCAGCACTTTCCCTCAGTCTGAGAATCCCTCTCATACCCGAGGGCTTTCTTTTTTCCCTTCCCCCCAGTAAACCTCCCTGAAGTCCCATTTTCCTTCCTGTGGGGCTGCAGATTTGCTTAGTTCCTGCACTGAGCCAAGCTGTCACCCTACGTTCCCCATGCCCCGTTCTTTCCCCTGAAATGACAGCGGCTCTGCCTTTGCCTTTGCTTCCCATTGCTCCAGCTTCACTTCCAGCAATCTCTGCCTTTTCCTACAGCTTCTTACGGCCATCTGTTTCTACCTCTGTAGCACCCCCACCCCCCCATATACTAAAGCCCCCCTACCCTTCTCTTGCATCTGTAGCTTTTTGCTGATCCTGCAAGCAGTTCCCTTCTCCATTCCTAACCACCAGTGCCCAGCCACAACCTGGTGCCTTCCAGATGTTTTGTGGTGCAACACCCACCATCCCAAAAGCCATGTTAATTGGGGATGATGGAGGTTGTTGCCCAAAACATATGGAGGCCACCAGGGGGCTCCACATGTTGGGGGCAGACTCAACTTCCTTCTCTTCTGTTGTTGCTCAAGTATATTATTTCCGTGTGTGTGTGTGTGTGTGTGTGTGTGTGATGTGCCTCACTAACAAGGAGGCAATTGCTACTGTTGATGTGGGCAGGTAATTAGGCTGCCTGTCCCATCCCTTTTCTGGGCTGTAAGGCAAAGAAGCAGGGAGAGGAAAGTATAGTGGAAAGGTGAGGAAGCGCATCTCGTGCATGGAAGAGAATGTGGGAGGTTTTGTATGAGTGCATTAATGGAGGCTTAAAATACTTTTGGGGGAGGAAAATAGTTTCTCAAGCAATTTCTCCTGACCTAAATTTGCCTGCATTTTTTTCAAATTTATATCAACTTTTAAACAGCAGTTGCAATAATATCAAATCTTCTCTATTATCTTATAGTCTACCCTGGGCACTTTCTGCAGCGGCAGGTTTGGATTTGGCCAGTGCCTGGACAGAAGACTGTCCAGGAAATCCTGCATTTGAAGCCCTGAATGCCAGCATTGAAAGAGCAGCAAGAAAGATGAAATCAATGAACCACCTTTGGCTTTGTGAAGAGCAGTTTGTAAGATGCACTGAATTTAGCAAACAAATGCTCAATGCCATTGCTGACCTGTGATACTTTTTCAAATGACCCTCTAACAAATAGCAAAGTGTTAAAATGAATGTTTGGAATTGCTAGCTTTGGTTTTTATAAACTTTAACGTGTTAGCGTTGGCTTTACAATTGTCCAGATGGATCTCTGTGAACGTCCTCCTGTAAGAAATCATTTCTTAAGATGGCACAAAGGGAAATGCTTTTCTGCCAGTCTCAAGGGGGGGGGGTTCATATCATCATAAGGAAATAGCCTTTGTGCTCTTATGTATGTTGATGTGCATATGATGAATTTGGATGCAGGAATGTGTACAAGAATACAAGCTGGCAGGTTGGAATATGTGTATCCTGTGCCAGTATTAAGTAACAATAAATGACAGAAACACTTACATGAGCAGAAATGTGCATTTGAAAATTCATCCATGTGTCCAAGTTTCTGCGCGTGTGCATGCATGCAGTGATCTGTGTGGGCACATGTGCACATGTGAAGATGACATAGGTAGTGTTGTGTGCATGAAAAGGTATGTGCTTTGTGTCCTGGATAGGTATAAATGTGGAAGAGCCTGTACTGTAAGACGGCCCAGCAATCTCCGGGTGTGCTGTACTACAGTTCCCATCCTTTCCAGCCAGCATGGCCTTTGGCTTTTCTGTCTGGCATTGATGGAAGCTGGTAAGATATGCAGCCCTTCCCAGGAGCAAGCCCACTGTGTTCAATGGGGCTTCCTCCTTAGTAGAAGCTTAGGACTACATTCGTCCTTGTGGTGAAGAAGTGTTGTGCGGCAGGAATGCATATTCTAAGAAGCATGCGCATGAAGGAGGGCTGCGTCTCTCAGTGTGGGTTACTGCATGCACGCAACTTTAATATCAACTCAGGTTGCCTGATATGCAGTGCAGAGTCATCAGGTGAAATGCATGTAGGTGTGAAGCAGCCTGATGGAATGTGCAGTTGTGTGCTGGTGAGAAACTTTGTTGTGAGCATTCCTGAAGAATTGCAGTGGGGGTGAAGGCACGAGAGAGGCTGTGAGGGATCCGCTCTCCGTTGCCAGTGGAGTGGGTGACTGTGCAGTGTCTTAGCTACCTGCACTTGCACACATGCTTCCACACCCATGATTGTGAGTTTGGATGTTTGCAATCAGACATTTAAGCTTCTGAGACTGAGCAAGTGGTATGCTTGCATGTAAGTGCAGGTGCATTCGAAGGCAATGTGGTAAGGCAAATGTTGTTGTTTCTGTGTCTCTGTGGTTTGGAAGTGGTTCCAGAAGGGGGGCTGTGTTAGTCTGCTGCAGCAAGCCAACAAAGAGTTGCATGGCCCTAGAGTCTTCCCTCCTCCTGGAATTTGGGTGGCTGTTCACAGCGACAATTCTAATCTCTTTCTGCCTGTGTGAAGGCAGGCGTATGAGAAAAAAAGTAAAAGATTGCCAATGGCCAGATTCTGGACTACCTGTGCATAGCTGTGTACATGCAGGACGGCTGACAGAGCTCCTACCCAATGGACTGTTAACTCTGAACACCTGTCGGATTGCTAGGTTTTGATTTTAGTTTTCAAAAATCCAGAATCCAATATTTCCAGTTTCAAAGCCATTGTTTGGTGGGTAACAGGTTAAAACTCAAGTCTTGCCACCCAGCACTGAAATTGTGCTTCTTATACAACTTTCAGAATTGAAATCTCCTCCTAAACTCACATGCATATATCGAAATATATAAACCAGGCATTAGGGAGGGCATTAGGCAGCACTCAAGGCAGC